TGTGACAAGGATCCAAGTGAGAGGCAGGCTCAAAAGCCCTCTGGTAACCCAACATAGCTGGTGCCAGGTCTGGAAACAATTGTAATTGATGTTGATCATACACCACCTTCTGGGCCTCTCTTTCTGCCCAGAGCACTTTACAAATATAGGAAGGGGATGCTTGCCATGCAGAATATAACAGAGACAAGAGATGAATAAGGTCCTGCTCAAATGAGCTTACAATCTAAGAGGATTTGAGACTGGTGGATATATTGTTAGGTGTTTTTCCCAAAGACACTTACTGGTAATGGGGTCTGTTCGCAATTCAAACCTGGGTTTTACCAGTTCAAGTCACTGATATTACGATGGCTCTAGCCAGCCAGTTAACTTTTATCCTTGAGTGTCATTGGCCAAAACAATTGTCCAGCAAATTGTGAGGCATAATCATAAACAGTAATTCACTGGAATTAGAAGCAATTTACTGGACTTAAAGGAATACTCCATTTTAGAATATTTTGGCAACTCTCTACCTTTTACCAACTTTTGCCACTCAGCACCCGGGACCACCCACCTTGCTTCCAGATTCTCCTTGGTGGTTTACAAAGCAAAGCAGGACTGTGCAGGGCTATACTCTTTGACTGAAAGTAATCAGCACATTATGCCAATGAACACAGTCCTGTTTTGGACCTGCTAAGCCAGTTAGTTAAGCTGTCAAACTATTCTAAAATGGTTTTACAGATTACTGTGCTCTAGTGGTTATGGTGCTTGTAGTGTTGCTTTAATAAAGGGGTTCAACATAGCCTTACGTTTTCATTTAGCAGTGAAAACCACACAGTCAGTACACACAAACAAGTTGCACACAAATTGAGGTTAAAAAGTCTAATTAACTATACTTAGATCTTGTCAATACTTGCCTAAGGATATCCAAGTCAGGGAGGACGAAGTCACCTAATTGTTTAAAATCTCTCCCACTGGTTGTTGCTTCAAGGATGGAGAATTATTGCCCTATCATCAAAAAGCATGCAAACATTATTTAGTGTTACCCAGCTGGATCTGCATTCTTAAAGGAATACGTCCATCCTTATAGAAACTCAAGCTCATTTGTGTCATTATGGAGGCAAGAGTATATGGGTCCTGTCTTTTCTTCAGGGATTATAATGTTGGGGCTCCGGGACTTCTGCTTCCCAGCTTTCTTCCTTTCTGATCTGCAGTATGAGGAGGGGTTAGTTGGGCAGAGGGTAATAGGCTGAGAGAATCAGCTGAATCCATCCTGTTAATAGTGTTAGCAGATCTTCACTCTTCCGAATGCCGTGTACAACATTTCTCACAATGCCTTGCCTCTCAGAAGGTACCTTTTCTACACTCTATGATAGTACAATGAGCAAATTCCTGCACCATCCCTCCATGTAGGAACACTGCAAAATTTCACAGTTGGGGGATTATTAAATTTTAAAATAGAAAAACACAGCAAAATGAATATTTCTTATCCTGTAATATTCTTAAATAGACTAATTGGAGATAGACCTCTCCTCCAAAGGTTGAGTTATGGAAACCGGTAAGATTGATCAATTCTCTCACAACATACTCCATACACTTTCAAGGAAACAGTCAGGAACCCTATCTCCTTGTTTTGTACTAAGTGATAAATCCAGGGTTATTTACTAAAGTGAGAATTGTAGGAAATTCAAAGTGAATTTAAAGTCGACAAAAGAAAAAAAAATGTGGAACTGCAATTGCTAAAATGTAGCTTTAATTTCATCTTACATAAACGTATGTTGAAGAAACTTAGTATTGACACATATTCATCATTAGGTCACCCGCTAAAATCATGCAGGATAATTCCCTATTTCTCAACATCACATCACACCTCATTTTCAGTTTCACCGCAATACTAAGTTTCTTCAACAAACGTTTATCTAAGATGGAGTAAAAGCTGCGTTTTAGCAATTTCAGTTTCACATCTCTTTTCTTTTTTCTTTTGTTGAGTCATATATAAAGGCATAAATCTCTACTTTGTGTGGGAAATACTTTGAAATTTAAGATTTACGTTGTACTTTTTCCATATATGAATTGAAAGTAAATTGAAATTTTAGGCCAAAGTAGACAAACTAGGAGCCTTGGTCACTTGGAGAATTTTTGAAGTTCGGCTATTTTGAACTTAAATTTGAAATTCACTTTAAATTCACTATGAACTCCCAACAATTCCCACTTTAGTAATTAACACTTTAATTCCTTATCTAAATATCACAGTTCTATTTATAATAATTTTGGTCTCTCAGATGGCTAAGGCAGCACTGGGAGAGTTAGAATTTTCTGTTTTTTCTACCCCGTGCTTTACCCTTTCTCTCAGCTTGCTACATTATTACACACCTTCTTCTGCCCCAATACCCTATTCAGTCTCTGTGACTACAATTGTCATTAGCCAGAAAGCAGGCTCATCTATCAGGGGTAGGTAACTTCCAGCACTCCAATATATTGTACACATCTTCCATGATACTTTGTCTTCATTATGGCTATAAAAGAGCATTATGGGAGACGTAGTCAACAAAATCTGGAGTGCTGAAGGTTGCCTGCCCCTGCACTAAAGTGATAACTGCTAGGAATTTCAAGTGAACTTAAACGGAATTTCAAATTTAATTAGCCGAACTGAAAAAACATCTCAACATCAGTTATGTGTTCTGCTGCTCTATTGTGGCCTCAAATTTGTAATTCATTTTGAGTTCCATGCATTTGTATCACATCTACAGTATTTTAAGTCTACTCTAGTGATATCTGCCCAGATTAGAATGTCCTCCTAGTTTGATCAGTGATCTTTTTTTAAAATCATTTTACTTATTTATTTTGTGCATGTTTTTTATGCAGTACCTGTGGCAGACCACCTGGTTACACCGGAATTGTACCAGCGTTGTAGCCCTTCACCTCACCGCCAAGATCATAATCACTGGGACTGTGGGCCTGGTCCCAGAGACACTGTTTGTCTGCTGAACTTATTGTATTATGTTATTATTTATTAAGTTATTTTACTATGTTATTGTTGAGTTATTGTTTAAAAGTAAAACTGAAAGGACGGTAATTAGGCTATAGCAGCTATTGTGCACGTTTTGGTGTCAGGCAGGTACTTAAATTATGGAGTCTTAATCTAATTATGTCCAAGACACCAAGACGTTGGGGAGTGACTTCTATTGTTTTGTTTGATGACCCCCTGTTGTGATAACTCCAATATATATGTGTGCTGTGGTTCAATAAACTAGTTCTATTCCTAGCATTAAAGGGACAAAATAGTCACCAAAACAACTTTAGCTCAATTAAACAGTTTTTGTGTATAGTTCATGCCTCTGAAGTCTCACTGCTCAATTCACTGCCATTTAGGAGTTACATTACTTTTGTTTCTGTTTATACAGTCCTAGCCGCACCTCCCCTGACTGTGACTGACACAGCCTGCATGAAAAAAAAATGGTTTCATTTTCAATCAGATGTAACTTACTTTAAAATTGAACTTGAACTCATGTAGGGTCTTGCAAGCTATTAACAGAGCAGGAGACAAGACATTCCAAATTAAGCAGATTTTGCAATAAAGGAAGTGTAAACATTAGATTACTCTTTACAGGTAGTGTTTAGGAAGGCTGTGTAAATCACATGCAGGGAGATGTGACTAGTGCTGGATAAACAAAGTGATTTAACTCCTAAACTGCAGTGAATTGAGCAGTGAGAAGACATGGGCATGATCTATACATCAAAACAGCTTCATTAAGCTAAAGTTATTTTGGTGACTATAGTGTACCTTTAAGACTCGGGAGAGGAGGGGTGAACCTTATACTACTACAGCTATTATCACTGAAACTACTCTAAAGAGCTGTAAACACTGAGGCAAAGGGAACCTCTGGTGGTGATACTCTGATGATCCGCCACAGTACCCATATAATGTATTACTAAAGAGGGCCCACTCCAGTCTCTAGTTTTATTTGAAATACCTTACTTTCCTTTTTTCTTTGATCTTTTTCCTACTGTTTCTTTAAATCTATTTTCTTTCGCTTATACATATAAAAAGATGAACTCACACAACAGAGTTGAAAGTTTTTTTTGTACATGTAATGGTAATTAAATTCACAAAAAAGTGGAGCGATATTTAGGTGGAGTACCCCACACCTAGCAGTGACTCAAGAAGTTAATACTCATGTGACAAACTGAACCTCGTCACGGGTTCTTGGACGGGCCTGCTTGCCAGCCTCCTGCCTCAGGACTATGGGCCCTGCAATATACCTTGTCCAATGCACTTTAAAAGGCTCTGTTCAGGTGATTTATGTACTTTTGTACTCCAGATCGACCATTAGCCCTGATTCCCTGGAACTGTTTTGGGCATGGGACCATGTGCACGGTCGGTCAAAATGACTTCCATGGAAATCCAAAACCCCTGAACCGATCTGGGTGATTTTTTTATATGTTGGTCCCCCAGATCGGGGCTATCAGGGGATACAATTGTGTGGGGCTTTCATGTGTTTTGGGGGTACTTTTGGATTATTGTAAATATATGTTTTCTGTGCCTGGAGAAAATTGGGTATAGTACAGTTCCTGACTCAATTATCTCTCAGGCACACGGGAGGGATTATCTTGTTTTGTGTGGGAGTGTCCTGGACCTGAGAGCCAATGTTATTACAGTGTGTACTTTGTCACAGTCCCCTTTCAGGTCCAGTCGGGATTGCCCCTAGAATATGTTATGGAAAACCGCTTGCATGGGCACTTGCATATAAGGCCAGTTGTGGCTGCCATTAAACAGGTCCTCTTGTGAAGGGGACAACTATATTCACTCTGAGGATTGCTATAATCACAATTTGTAACCTTGGATTACAACATTTGCTCTTGTATTTGTAAGAGCCACCAGAGCCGGACTGGCCCATCGGGATACCGGGACATTTCCCGGTGGGCCGTCGGCACCTGGGGCCAGGCAGGCAGCTGCCAGCTGGCTCACCTCTTTAGGCGGCCGCAGGGGAAGCTGGCTGTTCTTGCGGCCGCAAGGGGAGCTGGCTGTTCTGTCTCTGCTCCCCCTCCCCAGCGCACTACAGTGAGACTGGGGCCGGAATATGACATCATATTCCAGCCCCGGTCTCATTGTAGTGCGCTGGGGAGGGGGAGCAGAGACAGAACAGCCAGCTCCCCCTGCGGCCGCAAGAACAGCCAGCTTCCCCTGCGGCCGCCTAAAGAGCTCCCTCTGCGGCCGCAAGAAGAGCCAGCTACCCCATGCCAGCACACAGGTAGCAATTGTGTGTGTCTGTGTCATGGTGTGTGTGTTTGTCTGTCTGTGTCATGGTGTGTGTGTGTCTGTCTGTGTCATTGTGTGTGTCTGTCTGTGTCATGGTGTGTGTGTGTGTCTGTCTGTGTCATGGTGTGTGTGTGTCTGTCTGTCATGCAATGTGTGTCTGTGTCATTGTGTGTGTCTGTCTGTGTCATGGTGTGTGTGTCTCTGTCTGTCATGGTGTGTGCATCTGTCTGTGTCATGCAATGTGTGTCTGTGTCATTGTGTGTGTGTCATGTAATGTGTGTATGTCTGTGTCATGGTCTGTCTGTGTCATGCAATGTGTGTGTTTGTCATGGTGTGTGTGTGTTTGTTATGGTGTGTGTGTGTGTCTGTATGTCATGGTGTGTGTGTGACTGTCTGTGTCATGTAATGTGTGTCTGTCTGTGTCACGGTCTCTCTGTGTCGTGGTGTGTGTGTGTCTGTCTGTCATGGTGTGTGCATCTGTCTGTGTCATGCAATATGTGCCTGTGTCATTGTGTGTGTGTCATGTAATGTGTGTATGTCTGTGTCACGGTCTGTCTGTGTCATGCAATGTGTGTCTGTGTCATGGTGTGTGTTTGTCATGTAATGTGTGTCTGTCTGTGTCACGGTCTGTCTGTGTCATGGTGTGTGTGTGTTTGTCATGGTGTGTGTGTGTTTGTTACGGTGTGTGTGTGTGTCTGTGTGTGTATGTGTCTGTCTGTGTCATGTAATGTGTGTCTGTCTGTGTCACGGTCTCTCTGTGTTGTGGTGTGTGTGTGTCTGTGTGTCATGGTGTGCGTGTCTGTCTGTGTCGTGTGTGTGTGTCTGTGTCACGGTCTGTCTGTGTTATGTTGTGTGTGTCAAGGTGTGTGTGTCTTTTTTAAGGTGTGTGTCTGTCATGGTGTGTGTGTGTGTGTCTGTCTGTGTCATGGTGTGTCTGTCATGGTGTGTCTGTTTCTGTCTGTGTCACGGTGTGTGTGTCTGTGTCACGGTCTGTCTGTGTCATGGTGTGTGTCTGTCATGGTATGTGTGTGTGTATGTATGTTTTTACTCACCTTTCCCCCCCCCCCCACGTCGTGCTGGTCTCCCCTCGACTGGCCCTGCCTCTACGGCTGAGATCGTCAAGCTTGATGATCTCAGCCAATCCGCACTGACACAGGAAGCACCTCTAGTGACCGTCTGAGTGTCTGTCACTAGGAAGCAATGTAAACACTGCCTTTTCTCTAAAAAGTCAGTGTTTACATTGAAAAGCCTGCAGGGACAGGCTATAGACACCAGAGCCACTACATTAAGCTGTGTGTGTGTGTGCGCGCCTGCTAGTGAATGGGCTTGTGTTTTTATGTCAATGACCTTATGTATATCAGTGAGATTGTTTGTCTATGAGGCTGTGTATCAATCAGCTTGTGTCAGTGAGATTGTCTGTGTCTGCATGCGAGTATGCTTACTGTATAATTAAAAATTTTACTCTGAAAGGACCCATATTTTATATTGGAAAAAGAAATATATATATATATATATATATATATATATATATATATATATATCAATCATCTAGGGTGGCAAGACATAGCCTTACATATTACATGCGACAATATATGGCGCAATGACTTATGGGGCTGGCATAAATTTTTTTCCAGGGCTGCTTTGGAATCCCCAGTCCGGCCCTGAGAGCAACCTGCTTTACTCTCTGGACTAGGAGAGGTCTACCCACTGGAAGCTGGATCCTGGTCTTGGGTCCAGGGTGGTTGGAGAACAGCGAGACCCCAACCAAGCTGTAACACTGGCTGTGGGGTTTACAGTGTTTATGGTGTCTGGTGGAGTGCTTAGGAGTACTCGGGGTGCCAGGCCCGTCACATCTATTAAGCCAGTGGACAGCAAAACTCGGTCACGAGAGCATATGGTACATAAATGACATTTTTTTTAAAAAAAAATTAACACAATAGTGTAAATCTGCTAAATTGTATAACTATATCAGTAGTTTTAGCAAAGAGTTAATGCATTTATTAAACAAATCTTTTGTGGACATTTGTGATCAACGGATATTCCATTACAATGAAAATATTCCATATAAAATCCATAACTGGCTTAATAAGTATTAAAGGAGCACTATAGGGTCAGGAACCCAAACATGTATTCCTAACCCTATAGTGTTAAAACCACCATCTATCCACCCTGGCCCCCTCTTGCCTCCCTACATATAGTAAAATCTTACTTATATTCAAGCCTGAAGCTGCTGGCTTTTGACCTGCTCACTGTCTACTGACATCAGCAGAAGTGGTAGCCTGATCCAATCACAAAGCCTCCCCATAGGATTGGCTGAGACTGACAAAGAGGCAGATCAGGGGCAGAGCCAGCACAATTCAAACACAGCCCTGACCAATCAGCATCTCCTCGTAGAGATTAATTAAATCAATGAATCTCTATGAGGAAAGTTCAGTGTCTGCATGCAGAGGGTGGAGATACTGAATGTTTGGATGCATTTTAAGCAACCATGACCCAGGAAGGATCTCTAACAGCCATCTAAGGAGTGGCCAGTGAAGTTATCACTTGGCTGTAATGTAAACACTGCATTTTCTCTGAAAAGACAGTGTTTACAGCAAAAAGCCTGAAGGTAATGATTCTATTCACCAGAACAAATTCAATAAGCTGTAGTTGTTCTGGTGACTATAGTGTCCCTTTAACTTCTTGAGTCACTGCTGGGTGTGGTAGTACACCACCTAAATATCACTCCACTTTTTTGTGAATTTTATGTTTATGTTATGTCATTGGATGCTAGAAAGGGAGAGCATCAAAGTGTGTAGCAGATATATTAATATTACTGTATTATTCGAAAGCATATCACAAGATACAGACCCTAAACCTTTTGCCCATTTTTTACTCTAATGGTTTACCACAGTACTCCGATATTTTTTCTTTTTTTAATAAATATTACATTAGTTTAACCTAGTTAGAAAATATGATAAAAATGCATATCTGGATTAGTTTTTGAAACATTATGTACCGCATACTGAAAAGCGTTTCTCAGAAATCCAACACGTTGTCATTGTGCCAAATAATTCCACTTTTGTCCCTGCCTCAAAGCAATTTATAGGCTATTGTTTTGCAGCGATACCCTACAGAATAACAGTTGAGACAGTTACATAATACAGTAATGAAAAGCAATAATAACCAGGGTAATATGTTTGACAGACGAAAATAATATTTAATAATGCTTAATAACTTGGCAGAAGCTGCAATTTATTGCAATATATCAACAAGAATTGATTCATTTTAACTATGTAAACTACTCTTCTGGGCACACGTTGTCAAGAACAAAACCATTTTTAGTTAGTTCATATTTGATCCAGATTAAATGATGACATTTGTTTTTTATTTCCACAAGATTAACCCCTGAAGGACACAACTTCAGAAACTTGTCTTGCACTTGAGGACAGAAGTATTTTTTGTATTTTTTGCTGTTCGTGTTCAACTACAATTTGCATCTTTCTCATTTATATACCAGTTTTTAAAGGACAAAATGGGCTTTAATCTGAGGGCACATACATTTATAAATTCTCATTTATTATTTAAAAAAAAAAAAAATAGAAAAAGTAAAATGAAGTAATGTGTGCATAATTAGTGTAGTTTAAGAAAAATGATAGGAGGATTCTGATTGTTAACATTCACACTTATAACTTCATAAATGCTAATCCTGTACAAAATCACATACTTTGTTCTGGTACATCTGCTGTGTACAATACCTTCATTGTATGCCTTTGCCACTACCTTGTGAAACACCAGTGTCATAAAAGAGACCAGACCTTAGAATTTTGAAAGAAGGATTTGATGGGCCTGTGTCTCATTTTTGAACAAAATAGAAGTGTCACTGTTCAAATTACCCCACAAAGGCCTACCATTTGAGACAGTAGACACTCCAGGGTATCTTATATGGAGCATAGTGTGCCTTAATGTGCCCACATTTCTTCACTTGTTTATGTCAAAGTTTGTGGTAAAAAAAAATATTTTTTATTTTTTATTTACACATTGCATTTCTGCTGGGTATTTTGTAAATCTGATGTGTGCTTCTGAGTAGAACTATACCCACTGTTTTCAGTGCAGAGTTTAAATTCAGTGCAGGGTTTAAATACCTCGAGTGGCTGTCACTGTGACAGCCACTAGAGGTGCTTCCAATGAAATAGCCAAGTGAACCCTGCTATTTCTCTCAGATGGTCTCAGCAAGGTCATCTGATTGGGGCTGTGCGGCATGTTGCCGCGCATGAATACTAGCCTCCCAGTGTTTTTCTGTTGAATGATCTCAGCCAAAGAAGCGGAGCTTCCCTGTGGACACTGGTGCTCTGAGGGAGAAAAGCTAAGTAAAGTATCTGTTTTAGTCCCTGCATGTGGAGGTAGGAGACCTAACCAGCTAACTCTAGCATCAGATTACTCATTTGTATTCCTAACGCTAAAATAGAAGGTATTAAAACACATATATGAGATTGTAATTAAACATTTTGCAGTTTTATCAGTTTAATCTATTAAGTAATGTTACATGTTTTTATTGTTTATCATCTTTTTGTACAAACAAATTATGATTCTTTGAAATAATATCCATGCAAATAAGTAATTTATTCTTTATTTTATCCTAAAAACATAAATTGCAGGATTCATATCAGTTCTAACTTTGTATTTCCACATCGATCACAACCTTTTTAACTTTACGTTTTATTGTTTATGTGAACTTCTTGCACTCGGCTTTTTATTACTTTACACCGACATTATGACATTACACTTGACTTGAATGTCTGTAATTTTCTGTTTGTTTCCCTGAAACCTAGGACTACAAAGTGCATTTTTGCTTTATGATATGACGCCTTCAATGTACCATAAAATTAAAACATGAAGCAGGA